TGCAAAGGTTCAAGTCCTGATTGCTGATAAGGGCAGAGTTCGAGTCTCTGTTTGTATATCTGAGTTAGAGTCTCAGATTACAGCCATGTGGCTTAGAAGAAAAGGCACAGAGTCACCAGTTTGGAGCTCTCCATGCATGACTTTTATGAGTAAGAAACATGGTGATGATTTTAGGACATGCGCTGAAATGTGGGTGGCCGAATTAGGTTTTCCCAAAACTGGGTCTTTCAGCATAAACCAGTTGGACAAAATTAAATCACAATTGGAAGAAAGAGAAACTGTGTTAAAGAGAGGCAAAACTGTGCGTGTGAAAGATTTGAATTGTCTGGATGAGAACAAACGATGGTTGAATGTATGGATGGCAGAGGCAAAGCTTAGGGACAGCAAACAGAAACAGTCTGACTCTATAGTATGTGTAGGATCTGCGACTGATTCTTCTCCATCTGCTTTTTTTTCGAGCATACCACCGATCCCACGTCAATACGACCGTAGGAACTCCAGAGATGATTGGACCCCGCTGTACCCCGCTCTCTCACCCCCCCCGCCCCGGTATCAACAAGAAGCCGGACCAGCGGCACCAGCGGCACCACCAGCAGCAGCAGCAGCGGCAGCAGCCCTCCCTCCGCTGCTCCTCTCACCGCCAGAAGCCTCTGCATCAGCCCCTCCCCTCCTGTCTGGAGCAGCACACAGACACACTGCTCCTGCTGCAATTCAAAGTGTGACTCACGATATGGACAGAATCACTTTAAATGACAATGGCATGACGCTGAGAGATGGGAAGACTTTACAAGCACCTATGATCGAATATCCTGGCCCCGAGGGAACCCCCGTTCTTGTTCTGCGTCAAATGGATCAGGAGATGAAAGAATCTGTCAAAGACTGGCCTTCTCCTCACCGCGGAGGTGATTCAATGGCAGACGCATTTCTGGCCTTCTGCAAAGCATGGCGTCCTACGGGCGCTGAAGTTAAAAAGCTTCTCCTCCTGTATTTAAAACCGGAGGGCTTCGCCAAGATAGAGCCAGCGGTCCATCGACAGAATTATGTGACTCTGAGGGCTCTGCAAGCAGAATGGACGGAGGCGAATGCATGGGAGACATATATTGCCAACATAGCGACAGCTCTCAAGCGTGCGTTCCCAGTGAAATTTGATATGGGAAAGATTAAAGACTGCTCTCAAAAGACAAGTGAGTCAGTTGTGGACTTTTATCATCGTCTTGAGGATGTGTGCGTTGCCCACTCTGGTAGTCAAAAGCCAGACAATTACACTGCTGCAGCTGAGACCACATTCGAGGTGATCTTTAAGATGGCGTTCTGCGAGGGCCTTCCCCAACCGATCCAAGCCGCACTAAAACAGACTTTGGTGGGAGGTTGGCAGGATAATCGCATCCAAGAAATCCTCAGACACGCAAAGCATGCTGAAATAAAGAACACTGAGGAGAACGCTGTAAAAGCTGGCGCGCAGGAGACGGCCCAGCATCAGGCCAACCTCACGTTGATCAAAATGACGGGGAGACAATTCCGTCGTGGAGGTCGTGGAGGTAGAGGACGGAGAAGAGGTGGCAACGGACATTTCGAGAACAATCGTGTCCATGACGACCAGGACAAATGTTTCAACTGTGGTGAAATTGGACATTGGAATCGTGACTGTCCCCAGCCACGCCGAGATGCGGGACGCTGGAGTGGACGTGGACGGGGTGCGAGACCGGAGGACCAGCAGAGATTTTCTTCAGATTGATGTCTGGTTGACGTGGGATCTGACACAGCACCTGTACAGATGAGTAATGCACACACTCTTACACACAACACACTAACTGCTAACTGCAATGAAGACGCGCTTGCCACTGATTCACTGCTTGGCTTAATTGAGGATAGAATTAGAGAGTTAGAGGACGGTCACAGGGCCAAAACAGGGACCTACTTAGCTTATGAAAATGAAGCTTACAGGAAAATGCCAACTATTGTTTGTGAAATTGAGGGTAAACCGATCACTTTTTTAGTAGACTCTGGTGCAACCCACAGTGTGATTCAGACAAAGGAGCTCTCAATCAAATTAAGTGGCAGAAGTGTTTTTTCCACAAGTGCGAGTGGACAAACGGTACCGGAATCTTTTTCTGTTCCGATCAAATGCACTTGGGCAAACGAGCGTAACCCAGCAACAGCAAAACATTCATTTTTGATGTCTGACCTTTGTCCTGTAAACTTGTTAGGCCGTGACCTCATGATAAAATGGGAAGTTGTGATCACATCGACAGCAGAAGGCCTTAAAATAGACAGAGGTGCGTGCGCGACTAATTTTGTCAAAATAAACACAAATTGTCCTATGTCTGTATATCAGTGGTGGTTTCACACCGCCAGCGCCAGTCATTTGTTGGAGACTACATCTCCATTTCTTAATCCAAAATCTGATATATTGAAAGCTGAGGACCTGCATTGTGTGTGTCATTTACACCATAGCCCTGATTGTGAATTTGAAGAAACGTTTAAACTGGGCTCAAATGACTGCTTGATTATTGCTGACGTGTACTTTGATGATTTCAAGTGTGCTGTTTCAGTAGAGTTAAGCCAGTCACAAAAACAATGCTATCGTCTTGAAAATTCAAGTCCTCATATTTCAATAGCAAAAGCAAAGACTGACACATGGCAAACCTTAGGCCTTTTTGTACGCAGATGTACTTTGGCAGAGGACTGGGAGGAGTGTGACCGTGGAGAAAATGTGTTTTATTCACAATCCGTTTGCGCGTATAAAATGTCTCATACGAAGACAGTTGATGTGCTAAATTCAGTGCTTTTGACGTCTTCATATAATGACAATGACGGACCAAATTTGACTTTGACTTCTTTGACTCCTCCGCTTGAGATTTCACCTTTGTTATCGCAAGTACCAGACAGTCTGTGGGCAAAAAGTAAACATGATGTTGGTTTGATCAAAAACTGTCCACCTGTTCGTATTGAAGCTAAATCTGATTACAGACCAAGACAGCGTCAATATCCTTTGAGACAGGAGGCCATAGAAGGAATTACACCTGTTTTTGAATCATTTCTTGAGGCGGGCATTATTGTCCCATGTGAGGACTCACCAGTGCAGACACCTATCTTTCCAGTAAAGAAAATTAGACCAGCAGATAAACCTACAGAGTGGCGTTTTGTGCAAGACTTAAAGGCAGTGAACGCTGCGATCATCTCTCCTGTTCCCAATGTGCCTAATCCGCACACTCTTTTGAGTCAGATACCAGCAGATGCAGAGTGGTTTTCTGTAGTGGACTTATCAAATGCTTTTTTCTCTGTGCCTGTGGACAGGGATTCACAATTTTGGTTTGCCTTCTGTTTTAATGGAAAAAGATATACTTTTACCAGACTTTGTCAAGGCTTGAACTCAAGTCCCTCGTTGTTTTGTGAGGCTCTGAACCACAGTCTAGCGTCTCTTGTGTTGACAGACGGGACTGTTTTGATTAATTATGTGGATGATTTGATGATTGCTAGCCCCACAAAAGAACAATGTGAAGAGGACACAATTAAGCTTCTCCAACATTTGGCTGAGGAGGGCCACAAAGCTTCTGTTTCAAAGTTGCAATTTGTCAAACAAAATGTTGTGTTTTTGGGTCACATTATAACCCCTGAGGGTAAAACCTTGTCACAAAAGCGTGTGACGGCAATAGTTGATGCTCCGAAGCCCTCAAACAAAAAGGAACTTCTTTCATTTTTGGGAATGTGCTCATATTGCAGGCATTTTATCGCCAATTTCTCTGAGAAAGACAAGCCTTTACGTGATATGACTGTGGGGAGGAACATGTGTGCGTCCTCTCCCCTCGTGTGGACTCCAGAGGCAGAGCAGGCCTTTACAGACTTGAAAATTGCTTTGCAATCGGCTCCAACTTTGGGAATCCCAGACCCAAATAAACCTTTTGTTCAGTTTGTGGACGAGAGATGTGGATGCATGACATCAGTACTTTTGCAAAAACATGGAGATCTACTGAAACCTGTCGGTTATTTTTCAAAACTATATATGATTTATAGGTTACCAACGTACCTTCTGGCTTAAGGCCTGCTCTACCATCTGACTACTGTCGCCCCACCGCTGCACCTCTCCTCCGACTCCCACTGATGACTGCTGTCTTGTGCCTTGGGCAAGAACACTTAACCCCACTTTGCCCAAACCCCCAGAAAGATCAGGCTATGCCACTCTCAAGAGCAGCCCGTCCTCCTGTGACTCCCACCAACTGCAGAGGGTCAGTAGGCTTGCTTTTAGTCTGGGGGGCATCTCTGATGCCACCCCCCTACCCAGAATGATATAGGGTAAAATGGAGGAGGGATTTGTTAGATTGTATATATTATTATTTTTTACCACGTTTTGGTGAGTTCTACTCGTAGTGAAAAAATATATTTATGGAATATCTCCAAAAAGGATAAATTTGATCTGTTATTTAACTAGTTCAGTATTAAAATTGAGAACTTCGAACGTGAACTGTTCCACTTTGACATGATTAACTGAACTTTAACAGTTCAAAGAAAACCTGTAAAACTGAACACACTGGCCAAAGCTGTACTGTCATTGGGCAACAAAATTAAACAAATTGCCCCTCACACTTCGCTACACAGCTGGCCTCCTTGGCATAGCTTCCCCGTGAAATCAGTGGGTCTCTCCAACTGATGGTCATTACACGTTTTTATTTTCCGTTTATAGGACGTTACATGGCATTTTAACCTTTCTAATTTTTTTAACAATAATTTTTATGCTTGTTATAGTATCACTAATTGAACACTAGTTCTTTGTGTGTGTGTGTGTGGTGTTTGTGTGTGTGTTGTCCTTTTTCTCACTAAACTCCTGATACTTACGTTCGATGCATCGTACAACAATCCTTAAACATCCGGAGATTTTATAAAACAGTCAATATTAAAAAAAATTTTAAGCACCTAGACCAATGGGAACACGAGGCGCTTGTGGACACAGCTGCCGATATCAGCCTGATTGGCGCGAAGACCTCTTCGGTAAGTTACAGTCTATGGCCAGTAAATCCCACAGACACCTAAAAACGCAGCCATGCGACTTAGAAATAACACCCTATTCCCAGGTGGATACGACCATACGTAAAATGGCTCTAATGCGACTGACCGTGGGCCTCATGACACTGGTCCACCCGGTCTACATCTCCCCATTCAACACGCATCCGCTCCTATTGGGCCAGGACCTTCTAAATCGGTTTAAGCCCCTAATAGACTACCAACGTCTAAAGATCTGGACACAGGTCCGGGAGCCCTTGCCCATCCCACGCCCGTTGGGCGAAAACCACCGCTACTCCATAGACGCGCCGCCCACGAACGGCCCACAGCCCGCCGCGGCACAACCTGAAACCGATCAGGGGACGCCCACAACCTGCGCGAACGCCACGCGCACGGCCCCCGACCTCGACAGGTCGGACTTAGCCTCCCCCCGACATGCAGACCCCACACTGGAACGCCCCTTCGACGTAATGATCGACACGACGCTCGGAACCCCCGGCCGTGATGAAGAAATACTGCCGATACGCCATGGGCTGTTAGATTCTGCTTCCGATACACTCACTTTGTCGATACTCGTGGTGCCTCGAAGCATGAGGGGGGTAATGTTGGCACACGCCCATGACGCACCTACCGCGAAACAAACAGGTATAAACAACACACGTCAGGCACTACAACAGGTAGAAACGACGGACCGGACGGTGACCGAAACACCAAGGTACGTATCCCCAAACCGGAGTGACGAGAATGTGAAACTCCCCCGGCTCCTGAGGACAAACCAATACAGGACCGACCCGCAGGACCACCTCCAGGTCAAAAACCAGGTATGGTATTACACCTTGGCACATTCCCCAGGACACGTGGGAACCGGCCCCACCAGACTACGCCGGAAACCGCGACCCCGCTGGTCAAGACCATACAGGGTGGGAAACAAACTCTCAACCGCAGTGCACCAAATCGAGGTCACAAAAGGTAGAGAGCCCACCCTCAGATGGGCCCATCACAGCCAAACCAAACCACACAAACAAAGCCCCATGGGACAAGCAGGGCACACTACAAACCCCAGTTAGGAACACACCACGTGACCTCAAACACGATTAGCCCAGCACTCACCAACACTCTTCTCGGCTGCACTAATCGACTTTCTCTTTCTCTGTCTTTGGCTAACCCCTAACAGTTGTTTCATGCCTTGCAGAACATGTGGCCCACTTTCCTTCTCGTGCTGACCTGCATACTGGGTCTCGGCACCCCAGAAATTATTGAGACCGGACCAGCCTCCGGGATCGTTTTAAAGGAACAACCCGGGCTCCTCATCACGGACGTCCGACTCCACACACAGCGAATCTTTGTCAGACTCAATCCTAGTGAAGTCTGCCGCAAGAACCTGCCCTTGAAGGTCACACTCAAAGATTGGGCAGGTGCACGCTGGACCCAGACGGTCGTGGAGCATGCTGAGGCAGACATACAACACATGCTGACGCAACTAGAGAAGTTCACGATCACTAGGACAGAGCTCAGTGACCCTCGCCCCAGACCCAAACGATTTATTGGGGCTCTCCTCGGCGCGGCGTCCGCCCTGGGCACCCTCTTTAGTTTAGGGATGTCCACGGTAAACGCCATCAGCCTATCCTCCCTCAGACGCCACCAACAAGAAATGGCCTCTGAGCTCGAGGACGTCAAAACCAGACTTGACCAACAACAGAACGACGTGGTAACCTTGGGAAAATCCCTGAAAGGAACCATGCTAGTACTTAACACACACGAGGTTGCGATTAAACGCACCTCCGCTGCGGTCAACCAACTCTTAGACGTCCTCCAACTAGACTACGCCCATACTCAGCTGACCACCCAACTGATGGAGGACATGCTACGTCACCTCAGTTCCTCGATCGAAAACCTAGCCATGGGCCGTATCCCGCCATACCTCGTGCCGCTATCGTTAGTTGAGAACATTCTAGCCGTAGCCACACGGGACGCCGTAACCCCCATGCAAGCCCACTTAGCGTACACGCTGGGCGCTGCAGTCCCCATCTATGTTAATCCTCTGGACCGCGAGGTAGCCTTTCTAGTCACCCTACCGATAGTTCCCGGCGACAAAATCTACCGACTAAAAGGGATCACTAACCTAGGGACTTGGAGGGACAATGCCCACGTCAGAGTCCAGACCCCAGACATAGTAGCCTACCACGACAGTAACCCCAATTTATACCTAACGCCAAACCTAAGGATGTGCACCCTCACCAAGGACATCCATTACCTCTGCCCCAGCAAACCTTTCGTCAGGGACAGCACCGATGGCATCTGCGGCCTGAGGCCCATGACTCCAGGGAGTCGATGCCCCGCGACGGTCACCTCTCGGAAACAAATAACCGAAACTAGAGCAGAGATTGTAGGGGCACGCTGGCTAGTGAACACTCCCCTTAGAACGGCGACCCTGACCTATGACAAACACGACACCTCGTCCCGAGTAAGCCTCCCGGACGAAACCTTTTGGGTCGACGTCCCAGCCGACGCTATCCTGCACGTAGGCGACCTGGCATTATACCACCTGTATCCGAACCAGTACGAGGCAGAGGTCGAGATACCAGAGTTCTTTGAGGAAAGGGCCTTGGAACTTCAACCCTCCACCCTAGTCCAAGCCACCTACGAGGGGGCACAAACCGTTGACGTTACGGTCGTAGACAACCTCCTTCAAGAGATTGCCAAGCGACCGACCATCCACCACCAACCAGTAGCCTACTCCTGGGCCGCCCCCGATACAGTCATGGCCATCGCGGTAGGACTCGGGTACGGCCTGGTCGTAGCCATGGCCTTCGTCCTAAATAGACGGGTTAGACGACTCCGCGATAGCTTTAACGGGTGCACGGAGGCAATGACGAGACAGATCCGTAGACGACCAAACCGGGGCGACAGCGCCGTCGAGCGTGGCAATTTGAGTCGGCGTCCCCAGGTCAATGAGTCAGAGTACGAGGACCTCCAAAGTCACCCACTCGAGGCGGTCACCCTTTCTATCACGGAAGGTGAACCAAGGGCCTAAAACACCACTAAGAATCACCAGCTCAGACCCAACCAACCTACCTCGATACCTAATCAGTCTCCTAGACAATCATGCCTGTCATCCCCATTTATATGCAGGAAATGTCCCTCGTAATTAAAGCCCCACTTGCTACGTCATATGTTCGTGTAACCCTCACACTCCCCTTTTAGAACGAGCAAGATGGGAACCCCTCACCATCGAGTGCCTTAACGACGCTCCTACCCGCTGCCAAGGCAGCCACCCTTTTTTTGATTTTTGAAGTTTCCTATTTTTGTATCCTAGTCCCCTAAAGTAGAAACTCCTGCTACTCTCTTGGCTTGGAACTTTGAGTCTTCCAGACCAAGAGACCCAGGAGTCAGGCGCACCGGCCCAAACCTTAGAGTTCACGGCCGGAGCTCACTCCCTAAAACCCCTGATCCCGGTTAGAACTAGCCTGCAGGGCCAGGGCTTGCCTTAGAGAAAACCCGGCCTCGACAAAACAAGCCAGAGGCCCGAGACCCAACCGCCACGAGCCTGGCCCCAGTTAGGCGCTTGCGAATTGCTGAGTCACATTGAAGCGAGAATGTTGTAACATGTCACCACAAATCACGCACTAACACCCGAACAGGCGAGACGACCGACCGGGGACACCCGCCCGGCATATCCGACATGACATGCACCTTGTCGGAAGGTGCATCTCTGCCGTGGGGGGGGTATGTAAGGTTAAATAAGGGACAGGGCCGTAAAACAGAGCCAGGCCCTGTTGTGTACACATTCGACCAAAAGGAGGAAGACGTCCCACTGCAGCTTCAAAGGAACAGCGAGGTCGGCCGGAGGACTATCATTGATCATGGGGATAACAGATGCCAAAAAGGGCCATAAAGTCACCACGGGGATAAGCACCTCTGTCTCTGCCTGCCTGTAGAGATCAGAGATCACCCATCTGCTCTCAATCCCGGGGATTCCTGTCCCCGGACACTCTGAGACTCTCCCACGGCACTCTGGCGCCCCCCAGCGGACACTGAGCACCATCACACCCGGCCCGGACATTCTGCAGACCAGCCTGGACCCAGTGTTATTCTGATACGTCTGTACCGCGTCCTACATGTGTGTATCAGTGGCAAATAATGAAATGTGGTGTGTGTTTGTACATGTCTTATGATCATTTGCATCAATCCTGTATGTTTCTTTACAAACTGTCTGTGTAAAGGAGTTTGTCCACAGAGAGGGAAGACATGGACACGCCCCTTCAGAAGTCAATATAAGCACCCGCAAACCTAGAGACTTCCTCTTGCCTTCTCCTGAAATCACTATCGCAACCTCCCTATCGACTCTGCGGCGGCACCAGTACGGGCCTCCAGCAACGACTGTGCCCGTCCGCATCGAGACTTTCCCTTTCAAGCAAACCTATTTTCTGGTTGGGATTTATGAACTCTTCATCACCAGCCGGCCCTGGCTCTGGACTCTGCGCACGTGACTCATTCCGGACTGAGTGTGCACGCCTGGATCCAAAGTTGGACTGCCGTCGCTGGCTTCATAATTCCCGCCTGCCCGGACAAAGAAACCACGTGGACGACATCGCCTCCACCCTATTCTTCATTCTCATCCTCCACTCCATCCTCATCCCAGTCACCCATCTCCCTCTACGCTCCTTCAAAGTAAGACTGTTCCTTTGTTAAATGTATGATTTGAATGATATGTGTACAACTCCTGCTTTTAATGTGACCAGAAATCCCTTTTCGTTATATTTTTACCCTCATTTTTGTAATCAATAAACTACTTTTCTTTAACTCAACCCCTTCAGAGTCGCGTTGTTAGATCTCGGAATATCACTGGCCGATAAAAGTACTCACTACCTATTAGATTCATAAGACTGATCGAGGCAAAGATTTGGTGTGTCTGTGCGCAGATTTCTAACTCTGCTGGTGCCCAAAATAAATAACACAGGCCTGTTGGTGGAACGGCGAGCTTCCGCTCCGGAGACTAGCCACTCCACGCTACCAAATTCATACTAAATTTATAACATAATCTGTAGTATTATTACCCTACATATAACTAATTACCCTACATATATATATAGATATAGATATATATCTATATATATATCCTGTACACTGCACAGGATGTTTTGACTCCAATGCAGACAAGATTTACATGGGTTTCAATGGGAACTGAGCAATGGGAACTACTTACTGTAATGCGCTGCAGAACGTGTGTCTATACTTTATGTCAAATGTAAACGGCCCTGTGTCACTGACTTACCCCTGTGTTTTCATCACGGCACATGTGAGTCCAACAACCATGAATAGCACTAGCATGGGGTGCGTTCACAGACGGTGGAAACCGTAGGAATTTTTAGTTTTCGGCGGAAACAGTGCGGAGAATACAGGAGGGAGGAA